TCTCTCCCTTCAGGGAGACCCCACTTGACCTTCCCAGGTTTGGGTTAAAATGCCCCTGCCCCCAGTGTTTGTTTTGGGTGTTTAGGATCACACCCCCATTTCTGCTGTGGACCTCTGCTGCCCAAGTCCATGCCCACACATCTTGGTCCTGGGTCCGTAGACTTCCACGTACACACCAAAGACCAAGAGAGCAGCGGCAAACTCTGGAGATCAGAATGGGGCCCTTGGCTGTGCCTCATGGAGGGCTAGAGGGGAGGGCCTGCCTGTGGCCCTGGCAGGGCAGCAGACCAGGAGCTCTGGCCGGTGGACTTCAGGGACGCAGACACAACATGGGGGTCTCATTGCTGGGACCAGAAACGCCTGCTTCTGGGTTCTCCAAAAGGCCACCGACAAGATAGCAGCAAGATGCATTTGACCCAGTACCGTGAGAGGCTGAGGCAGGAGGATCACAAGTTCAAGCAGAGCCTAGGAAACTTTGTGATTTAGCAAGACCCTGTCTCAAAATAAGAAATCAGCAAAAAGGGTCACATAAGTAGCTCAGTATGAAGGCCCTGGATTCAATCCCTATTACTGCCAAAAAAAAAAAAAAAGAAGTAAATAAAACTATATTTATTATGAGTTCTAGAGAAATAGAAAGGACTTTTAAGGATCAAAATGTTCCCGTGCTTTGACTCCTGGATGTATATTAGCACTAAGTGCTTAAGAGCCCCGCCCCACAATGCTCACAGTGGCTACTTCCTGACTTGGTTTGGAGTTCGCTTTGTTTCTGTGTCTTGAATGGTGGAACCAGTGGAGAAGTTGGCAAACTGTTCTTCCAGAGCACCAGGCAGTAAACAGTGGAGGTGCTGTGGCAGAAGGGGATCTGGACAGCTACTTAGGTCTTCTGTCGTGATGCAAAAACTGCCATACGCTATGGGCAAGGGACTAGATGTGGTTGTGTTCCCATAAAGCTTTATTTATAAAAATGGGTGGCCAAACCCTGAGCTTGTAATTCTCTTGCATTTGTGTTCTGACCCCGCCTGGTAAACGGGAGCAGCGGATGAAATGAGGAAGCCAGTGAATCCAATGTGTACCCACTCTGTATGTCATAGGAGCAGAAACAAACAGGTGATAGCCAGGGCTGAGATGGCTCATGTGAGCTGCTCAGTGGTTTGGGGTGAAGTCACAGTGTCCAGTCTTCACTGCTGACTTCATGAGAACTGGAAAGGTCCAGAGAGTCACTAGTTGTGGGACACGGTGTGACACATTGGCGTCTGAGCCTCAGTTTGCTCGTTTCTGAAATGAAGAGGTCACTCCAGGGTGTCTTCAAGATCGCATAGCAGCCGTACGTGGACCCCGTTCAGATCCTGACCGGGCGGCCTGGGCCTGGGGCGTACCTTGCACCTTGCACCTTCCTCTTCTGTGGCATGAGGCTGATAAGACCAGCACAGCTCTGTGCTCTGGGGCTTAATGCAGGGCACCTCAGCCTTGGCGCTCTCGATAATCTGGCTGGGAAATGCTTTGTGGTGGGCGTCGGCCAGCACCTTGTAGGACCATTAGCAGCATCCACACTTTTGCTCACTAGATACGGCCCCATCGTGTGACAGCCAAAAAGCTCTTCTGATGTTGCCCAAATATCCCCTGACTCAGGAACTCAAGGTTGGATGGGATAACATTCAGTGTGCCCAGCGCCAAGTTTGGCCTACTCTTCAACTCATCCCATAGAACTCTTCATTATTAATAGTGTGCTGAGTTATTGAACTATGAATTCTCTCCCTTTTGAGTACAATTCTCTTTATTTCAGTCTCCCAAAGGCAAGGTTGGCTGTCTCTCTTCCAGAATGAAGGTTTTTGTCCCCACAGTTCCGTGTGGCTCAGAGGCTTTGCTCCTGGGAGGAGCTGAGCTTCCCCTGACGTCCTGCTGAGTGGTCTTCCTTCTAACCTGCCTGAACCCTGGACTTGTATTCCAGGTGATGGGCAGCATCCACAGAAGACTCATATGAAAAACCATGCGGAAGTCTCCGCCTCACACCGGTAGGAAAAGTGCGACTCGTGGAGCCAGCAGGCTAAGGAGAATGTTGTATTGAGAGCAAGCAGATAGTGAGATTTTGTAGCACAAACCACTACCAACAAAATGAACACCTCCCTAGTGAGCAAATACACACTTAAGATTAGGCAGGGGCCAGTTTCCGATGGCTCAACTGCATCCAAAGTGGCCCTTCCAGGGCCTGGGATTTAGCTCAGTGGTTCTGCTGCCTGCCTCACAAGCACGTGGGCCTGAGTTTGATTTCCCGTACCAAAAAACAAACCAAAGTGTCCCTCCCAGACCATCACTTTACATCTGGACTGAATGTTTGTGCCATCCATACTCCCAGGGGGACAGTGGCTCCCAGTTCTGAGTGAGAAAAGAAAGGAAGGAGGGAATAACCGTGAGAATCCTGTCCCTTACACGTGAGCAGTTGTAGTTTTTTCAGTCGGTTTGAGAAAATACATAAGTGGAAAAGATTACAGTATGTTCAGAAGCATTTTGGATAGGTTCTGCTTTTGCATCTGCGTATAGCTGAAAAACAACGGCGTGTGCATACAAGAAGAAACGACCCACTGTGTCCGCAGGAGCACCTGGAGATCAGTAACTCCCAGCTTCCTGTCGCAGAGCCTCTGTGGCACTCTGGCTGGGCACGGCTGCCGCGGAATGAACGCGAGTGTGGGGGTTCAAGCCTGTTCCGCTTGTTCAAGGATCGCAGGGGCAGCCGGGTGCTGGATCCGTACTTAGAAGCTGTGGCTTCCCTGCTCGGGGACTCCGATGCTTCTGATTTTAGGGGATTCTTCCGTGCTTCGAACTCATCCCTGCCTCATTGTGACATGAGCAGATTCGTCTGTTATCTGGGTCCGTGGTTTAAGAAAACTCTGCAAAAATTTCTGCAGTGGCTTGCTGGCGTGAATACCGGAAAACACTAGTTAAGAGTCAGGATAACAGAGCTGGCCTCAAACTAGATTTCGGGCAATAAGATTTGATTGGCCAGCCGCCATCCCTAACTAGCGTCATCCAGCCCCATCTCCGGCTGTGACCTAAAATCCCTCAAGCGTGTGATCCCATCCTATCTTTTTCTCATTTATGCCAGCGCTGGGTAATGGCCTAATCTCTCCAGCAGCATGCAGATTTATTAGAGAAGATGGCATTTACAAAACCATTTTCCCCGTTCCACTGCAAACATCCGAAGCTGGTATGCACTTTCTTATAATCAACCTTCCTTTTAACAATGAGTGGTTTATTACCTGCAATTAAAATCACCTAGAAGAGCCTAGTAAATGGTTTCCATTTTTCTTTTTTTTTGTGTGTTTGGTTAACCTTTAGCTGGTGTGTTACCCGGCACTTCGGAGGGAGCAGGTTTTTGCTGTTGAGAAGCAAACCTTGCAGAGGATAACGGGCACCTAGGACATGGTCATCCTGGGGCTTGACTTAGCCTGGGTAGCATCTGCCAGGCATGTTGGCAAAACAGTTCCTAGACTGGACTGAAGTCCTGGGGGGAAGTACTGTGTGCAAAACCCAGTGTGATCTGCTTTGGAGGAATCGTCCCTTCCTTGTGTTTTGCGTACAAGATCGGACATCAGAGAAAATAAAAGGCGTAGCAGCCACAGTGTGCCTACTCATGAGTGTGCAGCCTGGAGAAATGTTAGAAAAGTGTAGAGTTCCCGGCACTTCGGAGGGAGCAGGTTTTTGCTGTTGAGAAGCAAACCTTGCAGAGGATAACGGGCCCCTAGGACATGGTCATCCTGGGGCTCGACTTAGCCTGGGTAGCATCTGCCAGGCATGTTGGCAAAACAGTTCCTGGACTGGACTGAAGTCCTGGGGGGAAGTACTGTGTGCAAAAGCCAGTGTGATCTGCTTTGGAGGAATCGTCCCTTCCTTGTGTTTTGTGTACAAGATCGGACATCAGAGAAAATAAAAGGCGTAGCAGCCACAGTGTGCCTACTCATGCGTGTGCAGCCTGGAGAAATGTTAGAAAAGTGTAGAGTGAGAGAGAGAGTAATCCCTAGGAAAAGGCCTCTGACTTTGGAGGTAAAGACGTCTCCGGACAAACTAACACGCAGAATCTGAGAAGCTCAACACTTAAAGCCTAGGACAGAAACCTTGGAAGCCCCCTTCCTGGGTGGACGTCCTGTATCTAACCCTGCCTACATGGGTGAAGGGGTGAGTTGCTTTACCAGAATGGGTCTCAGTTTCCTCATAAGGGTAATGCCAGTCTGACCTCCTAGGGCTGCTTTGAGATTGTTAGAAGGCACCTGAGGTGCTGCTGGGTACAGTCCCTGGCACTTGCCAAGTCCCCTGTAGATGTCGTTAGTCAATGTTTGTAAGTGACCAACAGGGAGGAAGGAGACCGAAATTTCTCCTTCGTTTATTTATTCAGTTCACACCCTTGAAGCATGTTCTGATTGACAAGCACTGTGGTGGGTGCTGGAGATCCTGGACAGAAAGGTGCTGGCCACCAACTGGAAGCAGAGGGAGGAGGGCAGCATGGTGAGGGCACCAGCTGGAAATCAGGGACCTGGATGCCTGCCGCTGAGAGGCTGAAGGGGGCGAAGGGAAGCCTTTGCAATCGCAGTAGCTTGTGACTCACTGGTATGACCGAGGCATGAGGTGCACCACCCTGCCCTGCACCTCTGCAGCCTGTGGTGGCCTCCCAGACACCTGCGTAGGAGCTGGGGCCCTGGGTCAGTCACAGAGAGCGTGTTGGGTAGAAGGCCTCTGACATCACTTCTATTTCTGGATTTGTACAACTTCTGGCCATTAACGGCAGCACCGAATCGGTCAGTTCAAACTTGAAGAATGTCGTGAGGCAGACAGGAGGTTAAACAGAGGAATATCATCATCCGAGGCTTATGCAGAGGTGACAAGAGCTCGTGAGCCCCACCAGAGACAGGTGCAGCAGAAGGACTGACCACTGGGCTGGCAAAGAACCGGTGGCACAGAAAGAGAGAGCTAGATAGAACCAGACAGTGTCCACACATCCCACTGAGGCGAGGGACTTGTGCAGTCTTTATTGGCTATTGGAGAGACTGAGGTCAGAAAGCATGAGGGAGCTAGCGGAGGCCTCCGCACTGCTGGACTCCTGGTTCGGCTCATCCCCCCTGGACCCCGCGCTCCCCATGTGTCCACAGGAATTCATAGGTCAATGCTGCGGATCCAGCGTGTGTCGATACGCCTCTCTGTGTCCTCAAGGGACCTACATCCTCAGACAGACAGTGGGAACAGAGGTGCCCTCTTATATGGGGTTTATGCTTTGGTTTGGTTTTCTAGGAAGCAAAGGAGAGAATGATTTAGGTGAAAAAAAAAAAGCACAAGCCAGATGCCCAAATTAAAACACTAAATTTTCCTGGAGTTTATGTGCTCTGAGCAATGTAAATAAAGGTGAGGGCTGGGCCCTTCTGCCTGTAAATCAGCCTCGGCCTCACCCCGCTGGCTTGTTTAGGTGTCTCAGCCCCTCGCCCATGCCACTTGGCAGCTCTGAGATCCGAGGGGAGGGCTCCATTTGTCATCCTGAAGGTCCTCCCTGGGGCTTCCCGGAGCTGCCATCTCAGAGTCACATTCTGGGTGAAATACGAAGCACGGGGACAGAACCAGGACATTTCAGCGCAGGCAGGACCCACTGGGGAAGCTGCTTCCCTGCGCTCCTGGCTTCATTCCCATTTATTTCGCTGCAGACCATTTGTGAAACAGTGGTGGTGTCCATCAAATAGCTGTTAGTGCTTCAGCCAGCTCCTAAGGGGCTGTCTGGCTGCCTCTTTCAAGTCCAGGGGACAACAGGGCCCAGCCCGTTGGTCGTTCCCCTCTGCTTAGTGTCTCCAGGGCCCTCCACGTCAGTGACCATAGGACCCTGTTGCTTTAGCTGGACTCCGAACCTGTGTTTAAGCCCCAGGTCGCCCTCCCCCATCACACCGTCCCAGCAGACAGCAGCATGGATGATTCCTTGGTGTGCAGCACAGCTGCAGTCTGCCCCATACCTTAGGTACGAGTTCATACACGGGCGTCTCTGTGCCAAGTACATGGCACATATATGCTTAAGGACGCAAGAAATATCATCTCGTGTCCAAGCACGTATTAAACTAGCCCAAAGTGTGCCACAGCAGACCTCTAGCACTGAAGTGTGACTTGGGCCACAAACCCATTTAAGGAGGTACTTGTTGAAGTGGGAAACTTGGTTTTGGTTTTTGTTTTGGGTTTTTTTTGTTGTTGTTGTTGTTCTTTTAAAGAAAAATCCCAAGAGTGTAAGGAACCGTAGTGTCCTCATTTATTTCGTGGTTTGATCTATGGGGTTTCCCATTTGGCGGTGGCAGGAGGGACTCCCCGAGTACCCACTGCTATCGGTGCTCACCTTAAATACACCCAAGCAAAGTCTTATCTCTGACAGCTCATGCATCACCCTAGCGAGGAGAGGAGCCCCACTGCCCCCCCCATAGGGTCTCAGTCCATTTTGGATTCCTGTTCTCCTCCATTATTTATGGATCGTCCGCTGATACTTCAAGCTGTCGTCGTTAAGCAGGGAGAGGCCTGGGCGTGGACAGCGGCAGCGGAGCCCGGTGGGTCGGTGGTGTTCGCACTGCAGCCCCAGGTTTGTAAGCTGCGTCCTGCGTCCGTGTCAGCACGGGTATTCCACCCGAGTGCCGAGGTGGCCAGGGGAGATGTGACACCGGAAGCCCGAGCTCTGGGCTCTTGCGCCGCCCGCTGGCGCCAGGGCTGTGGATCGCGCCTGACCAGCTCGAGCCTCCATTTTCCACTAGGAAATGAGGAGAGGGAGGAACGGCCTCCACTGCACAGGGATGGCATGGGCTCTGCTCTGGGGTGGTCCCGGGGGACTTCCTAAAGCCACTGGGGCAGGGACAGGGGCAGCGATGAGGATAATCCTGACACCGACACCTATTCAGTGCTTGGGAGGGACAAGGCACTGTCCGGAAGCTGTGCATACTCAGTGCTCGCGCCGTTTGACTTTCACCCTGACTTTGACAAATGAGGCAACTGGACCACCTGTTTAGGGTCGCACATTGGGGGAGTCGGCCTTGAACTCCGGCCTGCTGACCGCAAAGCCCACGTTTTTAACCAGCACGTGCTACTGTCCCGCAGAGCACGTGTGCCTGCCCTGTGCTGAGTCTGTGGGGCGTCTGAGCAGGACACGCGACTGTGTACAGGGAGCACGGCGGAGGCAGGCGGCCGGCGACCCACTCGGAAGGGGGCCTGGCCAGAGCCGCGTCCGGAGGGCCGTGGTCTCCTCTAGGTTCAGAGGTGGAGAACCTCTGAACAGGGTGGAATGGTTTTCTGGGAGGAGAGAGAAGAGTGTGCGGAGAACAGGTGTGGGGGACGGACCTACAAGGTGCTGGTAAATCAAGATGAGGAATCCGATTTTCCCCATGCACAGTGACAGGCATTGACTCATTCATGGTGTTTTATTGTAGTTAAGTACACATAACACAAATTTTACCACTTAAGCCATGTTAAAGTGTATAACTGAGGGGCAGAAGTACACGTCAGTGTTATATAATCATCACTACTGTCTCGCGCCAGAACTTTCTAATCACCCCACATGGAAATTCTATAGCCAGTAAGCAGTTGCTTCACATTCTCCACCACCACCCCCAGCCCCGGGCAACCACTAATCTGCTTTGTGTATCTATGGATTTGCCCATACTAGACATTTCATATGAACGTATCATGCAGTGTGTGATCCTTTGTGACTGTCTTCTTCATGTGACGTTTCCCTGTGTCGTCCAAGCTGTGGCATGGATCTTGTTCCTTTTTACGGGTGAGTAATATTCCACTGAGGGGATAGATCACATTGTACTTACCCATTCATCTGTTGGTAAATGGGTGGGTTGCTTCTGCAGTTGTAAACTGTGTGCTGCAGAATCCTTTTAAACTCATTTTTAGCCTCAGCTTCTCGGGTCAACTCTCTGTCACCTTAACCATGCCAGGCCTCAGTGCACCCATCTATCTGTATAATGGGGAGCTCTCTGTGAATACGAAGAGGTTTATATGTGCACACTGCCGAAGTGGTCATCCCTTTCTCCCTAAATCAGAAGGTTAGAGGAAAAGGAGATAACTGAAGTTCTTTCAAGCTCCTAAAATTCCGTTTAAAAGCAAAGTTAACTTTCCTTGGATATAAAATGGGGCTGTGAGGAGCCCCCCACTTCTTGTGGAAGATGATGACAGTAATTCAGGTCAGGCACGTGGGCAGCACCCACTGGGTGTTGGCCGTGATCACAACTGGGGTGATCAGCACTGTTCGTCCCACTCCACCCCAAGTTTCCTGACAGCGGGAAGCTGGGGCAGGGCTCCTGGATGGCAGAACCCAGGCAGTCCTTTGGGGAGCCCTGCTGGGTGGTCTCTGGGAATACGCTGCCCACAGGAGATCGGCGATAGTATAACTGAGAAACTTTCCTCTGCTTTTTTTGAAAATTCCGAGTCCTGCTTTGGTTATCGGGGAACGATTTGATGTGGATCCTACTTATAACCTACACCTAGACAGCGGATGGGGCAGGTGACACTGAGTGAGGAACCTGGAATGGAGTCCCCTCCACTGCCGGCTCAGCGCCTGCCCCGGGCGCATTATTTAACCTCTCCGGGCCTCAGTTTCCGTACGGTACCACGCGGCGCTCACTTCGGCAGGGCGTGTTCAGAACACCACACAGGAGAACATGGCTTCCTTCGAGGTTCAAGCGAGAGGACCGATGCCAAGGAAATTTGGTGGGGGCCTCTCACTGGGCTTTGTTGTTTCTTCCGAGGGAAAGAAATGCATGTACAGATTACATAACACAAGTTGGAAAAAGGATTTCTAAGAGAAATTTTAACGTCCTTTAGGAGATCGACGGCGCGAGAATATTCCTGGCTGCAATGGACTGTGGCAGTTGGTGAAGAAATCATAACGCCACTGCTGGCTTCTAGTGCCTGCTGTGCCCCGGGAACTGTGCTAAGCACCTGTCACTCTTGTTTTATTTACCTGCATATCCATGAAATGTGTCCTCCGTAGCATGTGCTGTGCTCTAAGCCTCGCCAGCGGTCCTACGAGGTACTGCTCGCATATATATGATCTTAGCAACCTAAAGAAACAACGTAAAGGAGGACAGGTTGGTTTGGGCTGTCAGCTTCAGAAGTTTCCGTCCGTGGCTGCCAGGCCCCGCTGCTTTGGGTCTGTGGCAGCACAGCGGCCAGGAGCAGCCCTGTTCGCCTCACGATGGCCGGGAAGCTTAGAGGAGGAGGAAGGACCCCGCTCACAGTGGCCCCTTCAAGGCCACGCCCCCTGTGACCTAACTTCCTTTTAAGCCCCGCCTCTTAAAGGGCTCACTACTTTCCTACGGTGTTACAGGTTGACGACCAAGCTTTTAGCACATGGGCCTTTGGGGACTTTTAAAATCCAAAGCATGAAAATCCGCTTGTGTAAGTGGTGGAGAAAGGAACTGAACTTGATTTTGGCTGTTCCTAGAGACCTTGCTGGAGGGTCACGTGGGGGAGAACTCAGTTGCGGGTAGAGATAATCCGTCCGTTCGGGAAGCTCTCGGAGTGCTGGTGACTCACCCAGCAGCCCCTATTCGAAGGGAATTTCAGATGAAAGTAAGTTCCCATTCTGCGAGTCCTAAGCACCACACATGAAAAAGAAACTGTCCCGAAAGGGTACGGGGTGGCAGAGGCCAACTGCAATACTACAGCAGGAAGAGGTTTCAGAAAGCAATCACGTCCCACCCTGCCACCTACTATCTGGGGTGTGTCCTTGGGCAAAATCCCTGATGTCTTGCAGCCTCGGTTTTATCATCTTTTTATCATCTTTTATCATTTCTAACAGCTTGAACCACCAGGAGCCCCTGCACGACTGTCCCATTGGGTAGCTTGTAACACTGATGATGGTACAAACAGATCTACTCACTTGTATCAGTCTTTTTCCTAATAAAATTAAATGAAAGCCTCCCGCTGGGACGGTCGGACACGTTACCACTGGTGGTCCCAGTGGTCCCAGGACATGCGAAGTACAGCCCCATCACGTACGTGTTAAAGCCGAAATAGGTAAGTGCCTGCATCTTATTGAGGAGATGCCGGTGGGAAGCCCTTGGCAGGACTCCTCGCACACACCCAGCTTCAGGGAAAACCTCTTCGTCATTGTCACCAGTGTGTCGGGCTGCCGGCATCAACGGTCTTCAGCTCCTCTGTGCAGGAATTTCCTTACTGGCCTCAAGGACCACAGGCCAGCTCCTGGGGGATTCTCCTGGGGCCTGCACGTCAGGGGGAGCTTCCCGGGAAAGACAGTTGTTGGAGGGGGAGGCTGAGTCCTTTGTGTGCTGGGCCCCTGCGACTGGACCAGGGCCACCCAAGTCATCTGCCATCTGTTAATGGTACTAATCAGTGGCCAGAGGGTGGAAGGTGGGGAGCAGCAGCCTGCAGCAATCAGAGCCAGGCCAGGCTCTTCCGGATGACTGTGCTGCAAATGTTTTTTTGTTGTTTTTGAGTGGATGTTGTATCTCACAAGTCGATCTCTATGGCTCGTGAATGCAAGGAACGTATGTGTTTAATCTAAATGCTTATTTAAGAAGAGATCTGACTCTTTGGCTTTGCTCCGACTCCCAGGGCCCAGGCTCTGACTTCTACTTCTCCCACCTGCTGTGGCACGGCATGCACCCCAACACCGGCCGCCGCACGGGCCACTTCCCAGGGTTGCTTTCTGCTGGCCTTTGCCACGTGCGTGACTCTGTTGTACTCTGGGAAAGCAGACAAAAGACAACTCCAAGCCTAGCAAAGGGGCAAACCCAGACGAACCTCACAAAGCCAGCTCTTCCTTCTGGGGCAGGGCACAACTGTGGAAGCAAAGGGCTGTGAGGCTGGTGTGCTCCTCCTCCGGTAGTCAGCCACTGCGACCCCACCCCCCACCCCCCCAGCACCGGTTGAAGGAGCAATTTTAGAAGAAAAATGCACAGGTTTCCTTTCTCCTTTATCTTTTGTGCTTCTTGAAGTTCGATGTGCATCTGACCTCTGAAACCCAACAGGTATTTAATAAATGTCCAAAGGCCCTGATGAAAGCTCCTTCTTGAGCCTCTGTCTCAGAAGGAGAGACTGCATAGGTACGTTTTGATTGGAAAAATGGGTTTGCTTAATATGAGGCTTCCGCAGGATCAGGGGGAACCACACAACAGATAGTGATGCGTGGTATTGTGTTTAATAAAATAAGGTACCTTTTTGCAATTTCTTGCTTTTTTTGCAAAATATTAATTAATACCTGTCACATTCTCCACTTTATCTTAATGCCTCACCTGAAATGAAATCCAACTGTGTGTTCCTCTGCGATCGTTGCTTGCTTCTGAGAACCGTGGCTTGGGGTGGCTTTGTCATGTGGATACCACCGCACGTGCTCACCCAGGCACCACAGTGCGGGCGCTCATGCCACGTAGGCGCTTGGCGCCACCAAGAGGAGACTCAGTAGACACAGGACGCGCATGGCGGCCGCCGGCAGAACATAGCCTACTGCTTAGAGAGGCTTTTTTTGGTTGTTGTTCAATGAGTAAGAGTACCTGGTAAAATAACAGCAAAAGCATCGCACGGCAGATTGGGCGACAGTGGTATAACCCCGTGTACTACCCAGGAGGACTGTGGTGCGCTCCGATTGTACGATGGCTGCATTGTCACCAGGCACGAGGGCTTCTCGGCATTACAGTCTTATGGGCCACAGAGTTCATGGCTGGCCAGATTTCTTTATGTGATCCATGGCTGTATTCATTCCGATTCATTCTCTTATGGGGGCATTGAAATTGATGTCTTTAGGGTCCAACTAGCCTGATTCAGACCCTGACTCTGTTACTTACATATCTGTACAACTTTGGAAAATTACTTCACTTTTTTTTTTCTTCACTACTAGAGATTGAACCCAGGGCCTTCACACTGAGCTACATCCCCTGTCTTTTTTATTTTTTGATTTTGAGAATGGGTCTTACTAAATTGCTTAAGCTAGGCTCAAATTTTCAATCCTCCTGCCTCAGCCTCCCAGAGTACTGGGATTACAGGGATGTGCCAGTGTCCCACCATGCCCAGCTTTAGTTAGCTTCTTTGGGTGTTAATGTTCTCAGTTTTTTTGTTATTATTTAAATCAAAAAAGTTGTGAAGATTCTACAAAGTCTTCGTGGACCAGGCATGGACAAAACACTGCCTATGACAGCCAGGGACTCATGAAGGGAGCTCATCACTTGGTGAGCTCACGTTTGTGGAGCCCTAGTATGTGGGGGGTCTGCTGAGCCCGGCAAGGTCCCCCTCTGCAAAACGACTGGGCCTAATGATGGAATTTACAGCTTCAGGCAGCCTTGCACAGTCACCTGATTTTTGGAGGCAACTTCATGGCCTGCGAGCAAAAGCCCTTCTTCTCCTCCCACCTAGCCCCCCCATCTTGCCAGACGTTCCCCCCAAACCTCCCTCGAGCAAACAGGCACCACACTTTGTTTTTGATGAGGTGATGTCTGGTTTCTTAAATTAAATCTCGCAGGTAAATTGCTAGTCTGCGAGAAACCAGAGCACAGGAGAC